GGATCTTTGTGACGATTGAGGATACTATTAATCATAGAGGTAGGGTGAGTTTGGAGTTTAGAACATCTTTTGTTAATAGTGTCAGAAATTTGTTGTCTAATTTCTTTAATGTTTTCCATATTACAAGCATTGAAGAGATTTTCCACTCTAAGTTAGCATCAGTAATCCAAGAAGTAAGAAGTTGGTGTGAACTGGGAAGTTGAGGAATATGTAAATGAGAAACTTGATTAAGCGAAGAGATAGAGTTATTGAGATGTTAAGGAATAGGTAATTGATGTTTTAGAGCATGTTTTGTTTGTCGAATAATATTTCCAAGTTTTTTAAGGTTTGAGTATAAGTGAGTAGCCTTGGAAAAAAATATATACTGGAAATTACGGACAGTATATTTTTTGTTAGGAATATGTTTTAGAGTAGCTGTGATTATACTAGTATGAATTTTATGCCAGGTAGTTTCAAGAAATTCTGGGGTGAGAGTTAAAGAGGGTGTGTGGTGAGAATCAAGGTTGGTGCTAACTTGGTTTGAGAATTCTTCCCATTTTGTTATGTTCATAGCCTTGTAGTTAAAAACCCTTCTGCAAGTACATGTTTTATGTCTGTGTTGGCCCTGCAGAGCATATGTGAAGAACCAGCAGGAAATAAGAATTTTGTAATCACTCAGTGAGTTAGTATCTGTAACATCAATAGTAAAGGAATTAAGATAAGTTAAGATAGTGTGACAAGCCCAAATGAAATCGATTTCACTGCTAGATCTAGAATTGTGCCATGTAGGAGTGGATGAGGAGGTGTGTAAGGAGAGATTGTATATATTATTGTATGTAAGAAATTGGAGAAGTTTGTATTTGATAAAGGAAGAGTGAATGTTATTAGTAGAGGCATTGAAATCTCCAAGTACTATAGGAAGTATGTTACGAGCGTAGGTATCTTGTATCCATTGGATGATTGTGTTTTGAGTTTGAAGTCTGTTTGAGATTAATAGAATTAGTAATACTTTGAATTGCTATATCTTCACTCATATTTACAGAATTCATTCTATTTTGAGGTGCTTTATCTTCATAAAAGTTTGTAATGCTTTGAATTGCTTTATAAGAACCGAAATCAGATTTAATATAGTCGTTCTTAGCAAACTATAAATAAAAAATACAAAGTTAAGTAAATTATAACTAGTAATAAGACCAGGTAAAGTACAACTTTAACTCACCCTATTGATTTCCTTATCTATTTGCATTACTTCATTTATGAATGTATTGTCAATATGATTCGTGAATGTATTATCAATATGACTCATGAATGTATTATCAATATGACTTGTAAATGCATTATCAATATTACTTGTGAATATGTTATCAATATGACTCGTGAATATATTGTCAATATGGCTTGTTAATGTGTTTTTTGTATAACTTGTAGATATATTTTCCATATAATTTGTAAATGTATCTTCCATTATATGATTTGTGAATATATTCTTATTTGTATTATTTCTAAATGCGAAGGCCATACTTAAATGCAAAAGTCTAATTTCAGATGCTACAGTATTAAGTAATACAAATTTTATGTAAATAATCGTTCCTACTAACAAACTTTTTAATCTATAAATTACTTACGTATGTAAATTTGGCACTTGAGTTTCTTATTAATTATACTCTAGACCTTATTAAAAAATCATCCTCATACAAGTTTCACCTCACACTTTAGTAGTATGATCCTCTTCTTCTAACGACTAATAATACTATCATAAAGAATGAATATCGCCACAAGAGTTGCCTTTAGCTGATAATAACGATTATTAAGATAAATAGATAAAGTTTTTTAATTATATATACGATTAAATATATGATTATAATAATAAATAAGCTTAATTTGATATACAATTGTTATGATAAATAAAAAATATTTGAAGTTTTTTAATTATGATTATTATGGTAAATAATTGAAGTTTTAAGTAATTTTAAGTAAATAATTGAAGTTTTAATTAACTTATATCGAACTCTTTTTTTTTATTCTGTTTAAAATGTTTAGGTTCTTTTTGAAATTTATTTTGTCATCAGCTAGTTCTTGATTTGCTATTCACAATAATAAAAAATAACAACACAACTCTTTTCAATGATCATCTGGACCATATTTTTCTGAAAACTTTTTTGACTAAAAAACAGTAACATACTGTAAGAAAAAAGTAAGACATGGGAAAAGAGCATAAGAAGAACTGCACTTGTCGTTTAGAAATAGTTCTCATACGCTACCTGCCGACAAGCTCAGAGTTTATCACTTACGGCAGCACGGCACTTGTCATTTAGAGATAGTTCTTATACGCTATCTGCTGACAAGCCCAGAGTTTATCACTTACTGAAAAAACTTAGTACTGTGCAAACTTGTGGAACACCTGTTTATGTCTTTAGAACTCACACTCTTTTGAATATGTGCTAGTGGTCTTCTCTATATTTTTCGCTCTTTGTCGTTCTTACCAAAAATTTCGACAAAAAAAGTGGGCATTTTAGCTTACCTCCTCCAAAAGATCGGCATTGTTTACACCTACCTAATTCGGATGACTCAGTAGAATGCAACTACGTGTTTGTTTTGTTTATCGATTTGGTGCTACGATACGTGGAAGAGATCGCCACTCTCGTTTAGGAGATACCCTAGTTGAGTTGGTGTCCAGAACGAGTCCCAAAGCTAAACCGAAAGTTTACAATCAAGATATAGTAATTAGTTGCAATTATTATATAATTTTTATCTTTATGTCTGGCACGGGCTATAATAGTGTGTCATGGCTACTTTTTTTTTTTTTACTTTTTCCATCTTTGTTCAGTTATGGTAGACTATTTTAGAATTTGTTGAAAAGTTTTTTTTTTTACCACCGTGAAGTGTTTTTTTTTCTAAAATATTTATGTCTCTCATAAACATAGCATTATTTTTTTCACTTTTATGTATGAATAAGGGTTTTAATTTTGTTGTCGGGCTTAGGTG